TTCTTGAGGCCTATTGGCTGGGTCGTGTGGGCGGAGCCAAAAAAGTCCCCCAATGAGCAGCTCTGTGGTCTGAAAGGGCGGGGAAACAGCCCAATGAGCATTACCACAGAGGAGCCAATCAGTTGGCAGCTAGAAGTTTGCTGGGGTCGCTGTGAGCCAATCATCAACTGGCAGCTGGAAGTTTGCTGGGGCCCCTTCTGCTATGGCTCTCAAAGACCCCAGTGATGATAAACTAATACATTTCTTCCTCTATCCCATCTGCATGACCTTGGGTGATATGAAAGAAAAAATAGCCTTAATTTAGCAGTGTTATGGTTTGAATTTTAAATGTTCCCCAAAGACCCACATGATAAAGTCTTGGTTGCTAATCTGTGGTTCTACTGGGAGGCTGTAGAACTCTATGAATTGTGGCCTAGTTGAAGGAAATTAGGTCACTGAGGACATACCCTTGAAAGGGACTATTGAGTATCAGACTGTTTTCTCTTTTTTTTTCTTTCATTTTTTGGCTGTTGTGATATGACAGCTTCCTCTGTCCCATGTCTTCTGCCGTGTTGTGCTATCTCACCACAGGTTCAGAAGCAATGAGGTCAAGTGACCATGGACTGCAACCTCAGAAACCATGAGACAGAGTAAACCTTTTTCCCTTACAGGTTGATTATCTCAGGTATTTTGTCACAGTTCTGGAAACCTGACTAACACAAGAGGATTGAGGTGGGAGAGAAAGAGTGTGGGAGGGGGATCTTTCAGGAAAAGTTGCTTCAGCTAAGACAAGGAGCTATAGAGAGCATATTTACAATGGAATAGAATTTTAGAGGCCATGATGGAAAGGGAGGAAGAGTGGGAAGTGTGAGGAGGGTGCCAGGAAAGGAAGGTATTTATTTAGAGGGGCTTAATATATTTGAAAGTGATTTGGAATGATTAAAGAGGTAAATAAGTAAGGTATAAAGTCACCATTGTCATTTTTGTGACCATATATGTAAAAATGTATTTCATATTTTACTTAAAATATCACTTAATGTGAAATATTAAAATAGTCAAATTTATAGCAATGGACAGTAGAGTAATATTTACCAGGAACTTGGAGTAAGGGGAAATAAAAAGTTTTTAAAATCTATTACATAACAATGTGCCTATACCTAAATGCACTATGTACTTTAAAATGGTTATGATGGGATATTTTATGTTAGATTTTTTAACAACTATTTTTAAAGAAAGACTTAATTCAACTAACAGAATTTGCATAACACCATAAACAGTTAAAAGATAGGAAGTATGCTTAGAATTAAATAAAACAATCTTACAAAAATAAACAATGAAGCTCCATTTTTAGAGCAAGCACAGTGTTTATTACTAAATATTGAGTTGCAGGTATAGTTTCTGCCTTGGGGAGCTAAAATCTAAATTAGAGCTGGAGATAGATTGAAGGTCAGGAAATAGACTGGAAAGAAAAATATCACCATTAATAGCTAGCTGATGCCTTTGTAAAACAATATGGAACAGACTATTGGAAACAAAGATGGTAGACTCACTCTGGAATTTCAATGAAGTAGCAAGGAATGAATGGTTGAATGAATGAAAAGAAGAAAGCTCCTAGGTAGACAGTGATTACACCTTTGGAGTACTTGTCTGTAGGATGGGGAGGCCTTTTAGGCAACTCCCAGAGGAAAGGTGGGGGAAGCATGCTGTGCTAGATGTGAAGCGGTCTGATTGCTAATTTTGCTCAGGGGAGTAAATACATATTCTTAGTTTATTCTATTGAAATAAGCTGCAGAAAATTTCTAGATTATTTCATCTGCATCTTCTCTAAGAGGTCCATCTTTATGTTTTACAAATAAAATTTTATAGGATCTTAACTTGCTTTGAAATGGCTTTGATTTCTCAAGTTCACAGTGGCATAGTTAAATCCCAGGTATTTGTATGCCTTTTCTGGTCTTTTGCCCAAATGTGAGTTTGGTTGTCTGTAATGTTCAATTTCCCAGTTCTTCTCATCATCATAGTCATCAAAAGTGGTATTATGGTAATTATTATACAAAAATTGTCAGTGAAGGGAATGCAGGGGATGCTATTAAAGGTACAAATAAACTCAGCCAACATTAGGTAATAAGATTTAACTTCAGATAGTCTTAGAAAAAGACATAAGAAAAGGGAAATGGCACTGACCAAAATTTAAAGCACTAAGGATCACTTCAACAGTTTATCCCAGAAATTCTCACAAATATATATCCCAATTTCACCCAGTTCCAAATATTAAGATGCTCTGTATGGCATTTTGATTCATGGAAAATAGGCCATATATTACTGAGCCATCAGATTAGATGCATCCTGAGACAGGCTGAGTGATGATGCACTCTTTCTAACCTAATGTTCACTCTCTTTTTCTGAACAAGAGGTCCCGGTACCTGCCTTTCTGCCCTTCTGCCCTCTCTCCCCGACACCCTCTGCTCTCTTTAAGAACGCAAGTTGCACTCATGTTGGAGGAGTAAAACCATTCCAATTTCTTGTGTGGTCCCTGAATTAACCTAATAGAGTGACCATATAGTTTCTCACTTATATTGGGACATGAAATGAAATGAGAGCACTGTGATAGCTGGCAGGAAGGAGGATTGTCTTGAACAAATTAGGATATGTGGTCACTGTTTACATGGCAGGACAAAATTCAGTCATCTCTGAGAGCATCTTTTTTGGTCAAGCCTAGTCGCCCATAAAATTATGAAATAAAATGACCTGATGATGATCAGAATTCTCCAAGCAGGAAGATTCATATATTTGGCGCTTGATCTCTGAACGGACTGCGCTTCAGGACCACCATTTTTCATAGAGAGCTTAAATGAAATTGTACTGGAGATAAAAAGTTAAAGTGTGCTGATCTTTGTCTCAGATGAGCATTTAGGTGTTTTTAAAATATTGTTGTTATACTTTTGTGCTGGAAATAGAGAAAATTATTTAGGAATATAATTTTGCATAAATAAAGAAGTAATACTTTGACTCTGGTGTGGATTTGTACCAGAACACCTGGAAATTATGCCGAAGTTGATGCTTGTATTTACCAAGAAAATAAGATGATTCAAATTTCATTCGAAAATCAGATTTGATCACAATTATCATTAGAAGAGATTTCCTAGAAATTTTCTTTTGCCCTTGAACCTATAGATAGAATAAATTAAGTTTTGTTAATAATTTCTAAGTTTCAATATTATTGAACAGAAAACAAACTATTGTTAAGCTGCTATGGTATGACCCAGTTTAACCCACCGTGGAGCCAGGAAAATTACAGTTTAACCTTCAGAGTTAATATGATATCTTCCTTTAGAACCCCCTTGGTGGGAACATGGTGGAAAGAGCCTTCCCAGATTCAGAAAGAAACACCATTTACTTTTGGCTTAATTTTATTTTGTAGATGTGCCAAAAGAGTTTAAAGAAGAAAGGTTTTCATATTTAGTATAAAATTATGGTAACATCTTTATAGTAGTTTAAATCTTTTGGAATACAGCCCTGAATCAGAATTTTTTTTTTTTGAAAAGGATTCTAAGTTCTCTAAACAACGGTTAGGAAACCTCCATATTAAATTCATGCCCATAACAATTATATGATTACTGATTTAACAGCACTGAGCTTGGTGACTCTTGATTAATGTGGGTGTGTTTGTGTATACATGAATATAAAACTCTTTAACGGTTGTCTCTAAGAGCAACAGATAAGGACTAAACACAAAAAAAGAAGGTAAGAATAGCAGATAAGTGATGAGAGACCTAATCTGCATAGGGTTCTTAGATATACTGTTAATGAACAATTTAAATCAGCAAGAAAAATTTAAATAATATTTTTAATCTGTTAATCAGTATAAGATGTCATTTCTTTTAGAAATTAGTCCATAAAAATCAGTATATATATTTAAATAGTTGGTGTTTAAAATAGTGGGCTTTGTTATTTTTTTATTCATTGACATTCTTCTTTAAATCTAACTACATGAAGTGTTTTGATCATGTAGTTTTTGTAAAAGATAATATAAAATTATACATACTATGTGGTACGTGAATCTAAAGTTCTATCTTGATATAATTTGCTCACAAAACAGCTGATTTGGATTGCATTCTTGAGCTCAAGAGTCTGTGGAAAGTGTGGGAAAACTCATGTTGATGCTGGTTCCCTTGGCCCAGATTCATAAGACTGCTTTCAGCTGCTGCTTATTTGATGCGCTAATTCATGTCACTTTGTGTTGTAGGCTTCCCAAAGCGATGTTTCAACACCAAGTCTAAGTGCACTTCCCCGGGAGACTGACAGGGTTGAACAGGAGAAGGGCGGTAAGTCTGTGGAGGAAGTGCTGGCTGCAAAGCATTACTCCACCACCCTCCCGCTCCCAGTGCTCAGTCTCTCATTAAAAGGGAGTTTTTAAAAACACTGATTTTGAGGGCCATGGAAAAGTACAAGACATGACTGAAATGACTCCAGCCTGAGGCCCACACTGTTAGGATTCTGTACTCCACACCGAATACGTTCCACTTGACAAACTTCTCTTCCTATTCAAATTATGAATGAATCGTTGAGTTGTTAATATAAACTTGAAGTCATTTTGCTAGTATGGAAATATGCTTTATTAAATTTACATTTTCCCTTTTTGTTTGGGGGCTGGGGGACAATATGAGCAATTAGGATCAGGGTTGTGGAGAGTCTGTGGCCAGGGATTCATTTCCCTCTGTTGAAGCTGAGTGCCCTGTATTAGGAGTCCTTTCTGGCTTTATTGCTATTGAGATTTTAATAGATGTACCTGGCCAGGAGCTCATGGTTAATGAATACCATCTGTGAGTAAGATAAAACATCTTTCCTTCTTTCAGGTCTGACGACCTGGGACCTATGGGTAACATAAGCACCAGACTTCAGTCTGATATGGAGATTGTGATTGACCCACCAAAGCTCTTAGCACTTTTTGCTGGTCTTAGGACACAAACTGGATGCTGTGAACTCCCTATTTTGCCCAAGTGAAGTTTTTACCATAATTTCTCTTACATCTGTAGGACATGTACAAAGAAGAGAAAAGGGGTTGATCTGTAGGGGTGAAAAAGAGGTGTAATGATACAAGACAAAATGTTTTCTCCTCTGAGCTTAAGGATAAGGTGGAGCAATTTTAGAGATTGGTTGGTGGGAATATTTTTAAACATCAAAGTCATAACAGTAACCGCTTTATAGTTCTCTCTTTTTAAAAAAATATTTTGAGAATAAGGGAGAGGAAATTATTGCTAATAATAACCTTCTCATTTGCTTTCATTTCATTAGAATTTTTTGAATGAGGAAGAAAGGAGTATAACTACTACAGTTGGTATGCTGGGAATTCTGTACATTTTGGCCTACCCTCACCACATAAGTGATTAACTGTTACAGAACACCGAGTGGGAGTCTTTCACTCCTTCCCTGTCTGGAAAACAAAAACAAAAACAAAAACAAAGCCCTACTTATCCTTTAACATAGAGATGATGTGCCCCTTTCTTTGTAATGCCTGTACCCACTACTCACAGATTTCCTCCTTGAACCTAGCAGAACTTTGCTTTCTTCTTAGCTCTGTGTAGCATATGATGCTGCCAGTGTGATGCTTATCACATCAGTTTCCAGCTAGCTATATGAAAATTTCTCCACTTTAACACTGTGATCAGTTAGGGCCAGTTCAGATTTCTTATTTCATTATTAACTTTACATTGTGTAAATAATAATATGACCTATTATAGGCTAAAATAATATCTGAATATTCAGGTTATAGCTGGCTATTGAGTTTTCACTATAGTGGAGAGAAAAAATAACCAGAAAAATAAGATAATCATAGATTTAGAAGATTTTTATAAAGGAAATAACTAAATGACAAGAAATTAAGTACCTTAAAAAAACAACAACAACAACCCATGAAAACATCAAGTAGGGCCTTGAAGAAGTTCACAGTTGACCACAGACCAGGAGTTTAAGAATGAGTGGCTTCAAAATACTGGGAAGAACACTTTTGGTATACATAAGTATTAAGACAGGAAAAGAATGTGGTCTTGTGGGGTGGAGAGAGGTACAAGTAAATGACTAATCTGGAGACACATAGCTAGCTAACATTAGATGTCACACATCTTTCTGTCATGTCTTCTAAGGTTCTATTCTTGATGTAATGTGGTCTAACACATGGAATAGACTATAGAAGGAATTTATCATCATTAAGTCTTCCAATTATTTGATATACTCACTCCACTGGCAGTACAAAAATCAGAACTGTCACCACCTCAACATAGAATTTTAATCACACACACACACACACATATTAAATTCACTTATAAAAAAGTTTATGATATCATTTGCTTAGTATTAAAGCATTTATTTCCTGAAGAATAAGACTCTAAATGAAGTATTTGGCTTTTGAATAGTATTATTCCTGTGTACTAAGATTATTCTAATTTCCCATAGGTAACAAACTCTGAATTTTAAAAAGATTAATGTATAAATTTGACATCATGCTAGATATTTTGCTTTTCTTTGCTTAACTGAACCAGAGGTGTACATCTGATCCAACTTGAGCCATTCAGATTGTTTTTTATCATGGGATTTTGGAGTTAGAAGCCCGGAAGACCAAGCCCCTCATAATGGCAATAGGAGCTTAACCTGAAATATCCAGGAGAGTAGGGTCAGAGTCACTGCAGGCCAAAGCAATAAACAAGCTGAAACTTTGGGGGTAGAAAAGAAGTTATAGAAAGCAGAAAAAGTCAGTTTATAGAAAGAACAAAGAGAAGAGAACAAACAAGCAGAAAAGGAACACAGACTATGTGGCTCCTTGGAAAATAACTAGTGTCCTTCTAGATTTTTCCATCCTTTCGTGAAAGATCACTTTTAGATCCAGACAAGTCCTGGACCCTTTAAGCACATAGGCTCAACCTATCACAAACACACACACTAAACTCAATGTATTAAAGAACACAAAGACATATCTGTCATTTAGAAGCCAGTATGCCACCACTGGCACAGCGAGACCTCAAATTACTAATATCTACTTAACACTAGAAAGATTCAGTCCTAAAGGAAATGATTTCCCACATCTTTGTCTTATCTCCTTAAAACAAAAAGCACCTGGGACCAATTAAAGTCGTCTTTCTTTGATGTCAGTGATGGGTATTACTTGAGTTCAGGACCAGTTAGGGCAAGTAGAAGCTCTTGGGTAAGAGGAAAAACAAACTGATTGCCTACTTAAATGCTTCTCTCAACTGGCATGAGTGCAATATATTCTTGCATAATAAAATGTGATGTCTAATAGTGCAGGCTATGTATTTTCATGTTATTCTTCAATGCTCCCATTTGTGATTCCAGAGATCTTCATGAACTAGCATAGTCTTTGCAACTGTTGTGTATGTGAGAGAGGACCATTTTACATAAAGCAGTTCAGATTACTTATAAATATGTATAAATGTGTGTTGTAACATGCACGATACTATTTTCTTACATAACTAAGAAGTCCTAGTTTTTGTTTAAGGGAATTTAAAAATAGGTATAAAATATTACCAATAAACATTATAAAGTAAGCACATTTTACAATATATTCTGTGGAATGATAGTTTTCATATGCAATTTTAAATATGATATATAAATTTTTTGCTTCATTTCTGAGTTACCATACTTCTGTTTCTACTGTCTCTATAGAACAAAGTTTCTCCAGTTTGAAATATACAGATATAGTATTTAAGAATGATTGTCTAATTTACCATTACTGTTGATAAAACACAAATTAAATACACATTTTCATTATAACCACAATTTTAGCATATTTGATAAAATTAAAACTGGAATAAATTTAAAGAATAAATACATTATTTGTGCTTATACATGCCTTTATTTCATTAGCCATCCAAACATCTGTAGCCTACCAACAGAGTACTTGGATAATTACAGTAATGCTTAGATTTTTTATATGATATTTTGCCAACTTCCTGTAATAATAAACCATAGGTTTACATTATTAGCAAGTTTGTCAAGTAGGAGGACCAAATATTATTTAACAATTTTATAGCTTATAATTTGTAAATACTTGATCACATGGCATGTTAATCTCTATTGTACTCTTAGACATTTGTCACAGATATTAGGGGTGAACTTGCTACTCTGACCTGCTTTTACTTTGGTCTCAGATTGGTATTTAGTTGTGTTATTTCTGTGAGATTTCTATTGTTTGTTTTTTAACAATATTCCATTGTTTAACTTGGGCTAATTTAAGTAAGATTCTGGTCTTTTGTGGGGGCTAACAAGTTTTATTTAAAACGATTTATGTTAGCTTTCTGTCACTATGATAAAAATAGCTAAGAAAATCAACTTAAGAGTGGGAAAAGTTTATTTTTGGCTCACAGTTTCAGATTTCAGTTCATAATTACTTTGGGCCTGTGATGGTCCAGGACCTCTTGGTGGGAACACAATGGAGGAGTTCTATTCACCTCATGGAATCTAGGAAGCAAAGAGAGAAAGGGGTTCAAGCCTAATATCCCCTTCAAAAACACACTTCCTAACTTCCTTCTAGTAGGCCCAATCTCCTAAAATACCATGGTCTGTCAATCAAGCTCTTAACACAAAGCCCTGGAGGATATTTCCAAATTATAACACAATTATAGAGTTATCATCTACCTTCCCAGGTAGATGAAAAAGAAATAGATGTCCATTTAAATTAAAAATAATATATACCATAGTTAACCAAATTTTAATTTTCTACATCCCAAGAATTTTTAGAAATTGGTACTTCTTAATATGACTAATGATTCTGCCTCTTTCCCAGCCTCTCTCTCTCTCTCTCTTTATATATATATATATTTCTGTTTCTCTGTTCTCTGGAGATTTAGATTGATTTTAAATAGACTATACAAATGAAAGAAGCATACACAAAAATTAGTTTCCTTTGAAGAGCAAGGCTTGAATTTCTGACCTTTAACCTTGTGAATTAAGTTGTCATTCTATTACAAGAAAACAGAGTCAGCTTGACACATTAAATATATTAAGGACCAAAGTGACACTAATGGTATTTAACTAGAAATCCAGATAGAAAACAATAATAGAAAAGAAATTCATATGAAATATTAATCTATTCAAAAAAGAAACCTCAATTCTTTTTTTTTAATTGAAGTACTAATTCCAAAGTAAATATCCAAGAGAAGCATTTTTTTTTTACTTATTTTCTAGGCTCATGTCAGATTTTGGAAATATTCTCTAATGTAGAAATGGAAGGATTTTATTGTTTGTTTGTTTGTTAATTTACTTATTTGTCATAGAGTCTCACCATTTTGCCCAGGCTGATCTTGAACTCATGCACTCAAACCATCCTTCCCACTCATCCTTTTGAGTAGCAGGGCCTACAGGCCTGTGACACCCTACCTGCCTAGGAAATTTTAATTGAAAAGATATTTCCACAGTTCTCTAGGTACTCCCTCACCTCGTAGGTGAGAAAGAGACCTTGACTGCAAAACCAATTTGTATAGGTTCTCAGACCATGAATGGCAGCTCAAAGTACCGTTACTTTTGGATTCTCGTCCAGTGTTCTTTCTCTTAAGGAATACTCTCTGTAGTTTGTCTTTCTTTCTTTCTTTTTTTCTTTCTTTCTTTCTTTCTTTCTTTCTTTCTTTCTTTCTTTCTTTCTTTCTTTCTTTCTTTCTTTCTTAAAAATCTAAACAGGAAGTGATTATAATGTGCAATAAAATGGATTAATGACCCATTTTATAAACCATTTTTTGCCCTTGCTATTTATGAGGGCATGACTCCGAAGGGAGGGAACATGTAAACAAATGAATCTGGCATTCAATTCAAATTGAAACATGCGTGATTCTCCCTAACTCTACGTACTTTTTTCTGATGTGACATAAACATCTGGATTCTGATTGGTCCCTGAATAGACGAAGAGTCAGTCTTGTTATGAGAAGGGCTTGAATTTTTGAAGTCAGTGAAGTTTTATGTATTTCCTAGAGAGTCACTATCGTCAATGTCTGTCTTTTTCCATCCTTCTCAGGACCATTTTCCTGAAGTGTTTCAACACTTGCTTCTCTCCAAGGGGAATCCCTGCACCTGTGCTTTGAAAACTATTTACTTGTTTTGTTTTTTTTCAGGGACCTCATTACTTTAATACTCTCTACCTCTCTCTCTTTAAATGGTCCCAAAGATATTTAAAGATATTTACACTTCTCTTATCATTAAAGGCAAGCAAGCAATTCTCCTCTATCCACCAAATGGACATTCCCTTTCATTCATCCTCATTCTCACCCTCTCCTCAGGGTCAAGCTCTTTAAAGATGTCTGCAGTTCGTGTCTCCACTTGTTCTTTTCTTGTTCATTCCTTAATGCATTGCATCTTGACTTGATTCTCTCTCTCTCACCTTGTCCTGATTCCTTTCCCAAATTCTTTCATAGAAACTAATGCCTACAAAGTTATTACCACTGGCTGCTTTCATTCAAAGTCTAAAGAATATATATATATATATATTTTTTTTTTAATTAGTTGTAGATGGACACAATACCTTTATTTTTATGTGGTGCTGAGGATTGAACCCAGTTCCTCACACATGCTAGGCAAGTGCTCTACCACTGAACCATAACCCCAGCCCCTAAAGAATACTTTTCAGTCCTCCTATTTTTGATCTCTTCAACATCTAGAAATGTCACATCTGGAAAAAATACTCATCATTTGTTCTAGCCTCCTCAAATGACAGATGGGAAAACTGGAGGCCAGATAGTCAAGGCATTCTTCTTCTTAATCAGTCTTGACAGTGTTTGTATAATCCATGAGGAAAAAATGTCATTTTGGTAAAAGATTCTCTACTGTTCATCTGACTATTTTTCTACCCCAGTAAACATGACAATACATGGTACTGAAAGTGAAATGTTTTTAGGAAGAACATGACTTATGCTTTGCATGTCTACTGAATCTCATTCATGAACTTCATGGTGGCTAGATATATATAAAAGCATGTTAGTAATTCTAGAATTTTAAAATGACTTATTTATGGACAATAGATGTTAAAAAGCCAATAAAGTTTGGGGAGGAGTAACATCCTTTTCTTAATATGAGTGTCCTTGTTAAGCGGGCAGTGCTGATACATCTCCACAAGTGAAGTCTTCTTGCACAATAAAGAAGTAAAACATGCCTCTTGCTGCAGCTGTGATCCATCAGCCAGCCAGAAAGATTTCTACAAGAAGAGGAAGAAGCTGTCTTCTCTGCTTCCTTCCTCCAAGAATAAAGATGTTATCTTTAACCTTTGGCTCTGGCCAGCCTGGAGCTCTTCCTGTTAAAACTCAAGTATCTTAAAGTTTCACACCCATCTGGTGTTTCTCAGGTTTGGGAATTAGGTCAGTATTTAAATATAGAGCAACCCATGAGTTAAGAAATCGAGAATTCTTGGAGCCATGTCAAGCTTCATCTCCATGAAGTGTTCTTGCTTGCTTTTGCTAATAATATTTGATTGATATTATTTGAAAATTTCCCAGTGCTTACATACACAGCTTGTATCACATATCCAATGTCTTCTCATCCATGAATTATTTTCTAGTTTTCTTCAAGTTTATTTATTCATTTTTTTTGATTACTCAGGTTGTTATTTCCATGAAAAATTGGGAGTCTTTCAACTAGACTAATTGATATGAATAATTTCTTTACATTTCTGAAGTCTTAATCTTCACAATTGGAGTTCTGTTCTATGCCTCAGAGAACTCTGTTGAGAATTGCATGTGTCCAGTCATGGCAGACACTGAACACATGCTGATTCCTTTTCCCATCTCCCTCATGTTCTCTCTTTCCTCCATTTCTCTCTTCCAGCACCTATGGCTGAGTCAACTGTGGTAGATATTTCTTTTTAAATGCTCATTAAGTGAAGGTATTACCACAGCGGATTAAAGTAGATTCTTGTTTTGCATGGTGACATTGAAAACTGTGTATGTGACTTGGAATGAGTTGTTTTTTTCATGGTTCAGCTGACAGGGTATATTATGCAAGCTTTTCAGATAATACAATGAATTATTAATCCAAATTAGAGAGTGGTAGGCTAGAGCCCTGGATTCATGCCCAGAGAATGGCTCTGCCACATTATAGACATATGGTCGTCTGGCTGGGATGGCTTTTTGTACACATGCCAAAGGAAACTTTATAATGTATGTTGAAATTCTGTCCTTTCTTTGTTTCTTCATTATTGGGTAACTTTGTTGCTCTTTTTCTTTCTTTTCTTTTTTTAAGGTGGATTTTATTCTACTTTATGCCCAGAAGTTACTCCTGGGAAAATGACTGCAAGTTAATAGAGCTAGTTTTGTTTGCTGCTTTAAATAATAAAGCTAAAAATTTAAAGGAACTGTACATGAGTGGAACTTTGAAAACTATTTACTGAAAGCCTAATTTTATCTTCTCTTCTTTATAGGTTATTAAATACACACTAAGGCAGACCCTGTGTGATATGAATTGTATGCTGTCCCAAGGATTCAGAAGACTACCTCTTCTCCCATACAACAAATACCTGCCAGTTAACTGTCAGAGTGCTGTTCTCTGCATATATCTGGTTTGAAACTCCTGGTTCTGAAGTTCTCCATAGATGGGATCAATGATTAGATATTTGTGTTTTTACTGCTACATTATGGCTATACATATAATTTCAGGATCAGTGATTAGAAAGCTGTTTTGATCTTCTCAAAAATGCTCAGGTAATCATGTTTGAATTTAAAAACCAATGTCACTTTTTAAAAAAATATTTTCTATATTTTCTATATAAAGTAGGTAACAGGATCTGTTATAAGAGTATACGTTCTGACCATTCAAGTTAATTGAGGTATATTCAGACCAAATGAAAAAATAAAAGGAACCAATGAACAGTTTTTGTTATAAGTCACTTTAAACTTCATGCTGGTTGCTTTCCATGGGGCTCAATAACAGACTGAGGCTTACCCTAGGAAGGCCATGGTAAAACCACACACCTGTAGGGAAAATTGTTTAGATCCCTTCCTGAGTACATTGGCAAGGTTAATGGATCAGACTAGTGAGCTGTGACTGGACTAGTTGAGGATCTGATAAAGTACTGGTGAACTTTGGTGCAGAAGCAGTGAACTGGGTCTTAACAGAGATGGGCGTAGGTGGTATGGGCCTGGGAAAGACATCTGGAAGAAAAAAGAGACAAAAAAAAAAAAAAAAGGCTTTATTCAGGCGCAGTTACATCAAGAGCCTGGCCTGCATTGGAGGAGTTTCTGCTACTGGATATCGACAGATGGTGGGATACTGGCATGGCAGGAAGGAAACATATCTGGGAAGTACGAATCATGGTTTGATGTGGGCTCTGCATTGATCAGGTATATGGTTTTGTACAGTACCTATTTGAGATAAAGCTTCCATTTCTTCAGTTGGAGAATGGTTGAGTCAGACCATTTAAACCATCTGTTGTCCTGGTAATGCTCCATGACTCTAAGATGATCTGATCCTTGTACTGTATTCTGTATGTAATGAGAGCATTTCTTACAGCTGTCGATAAAGCTGAGGAAATACTCTGTTGTCTGCTGAAGATCCTAGTGCCCATTTGCCTTGCATCTCTACTTTTTCATTGATGAAAAGTGATGAGAGCATAAAACATAATTTATAATTATTTTCAGAAACATACTATAAAGCTTTAAAATTTACATGGTTGACAATTGGAAAAGGCTTAGCCAGAACACTATTAATAACTCTGAATTGTACGTGATCTCAATTGTACATGATTCTTAAAAAAAAAAATTGTTAACTAAATCTTACCGTATATTATTATATATTTTAAGAACCTTATAATTCTTGTTTTCACCGAAAGTGCAGATAGAAAACCAATGGAACAATGTGATACCAGGAATTTCAACATAATCTTGTTTCCCTATGATTTGATTATTAAATTGGTTGCCTTTTCTGTTTATTTGGCTTTGTTAAAGAAATATTACTCATATACGAGTTTCTGACCGCTCATATGACCAATTCTGCTTCCTCACATGTTGAAGCATAACATTAGAGAAACACGCTGAGGCAAACATTCAAAGCAGGGTTTGTTTAAAAAGGGGGTAACATAGACTTCTCCGGGAGGGAGAAGGGGGCCATAACTGGTATTCTGGTATCCCAAGAAGTGAGGTGTTCTGCCTTTTTTTTAATATCTCCTAGGCTTCCTTTGTTTTCCTGCTCTCTTCCCCTTATCTTTCTCCTTCCAGGAGATGCTCAGTGGGATAGCCAAAAGGTGGGAAACAGGTGGGCTGAAGGGGCCCTGGAGGAGTGATTCAGGCAGGAAGCAACTCCTTGTGTGTGTGTGTGGGGAAATTCCTTAGCAACAGGTTGGAGCAGGGGCAGGTTCTCTTGATAAGGGTGGAGGAAGAGCTCTAAAGGAATTAACATTTCAATTCCTTAATTCTCTGGATCCCACCCTTGCCTATCTGCCTGTCTAATTCTGGCTTCAATATGGCATGATCATGCATTAAAAATTAGCCCTGTATTCAATAAGAATGCAGAGAACACATTACCTTGATAAAAAAAAAATGCATCATTTAAGGACGGAATGGAATCAAAGGAGTTCTGAAATAGACATAGAAACCTATGTGAAGTGAGCATATGGAGGATGGTAGAGGAACAAGCTATAGTTCTTTAGACTGGAAGAAACACCAGCAGCTGGTAATGCGGCTGGCACAGATGGAAAGAAATGACATCTTTTTTAATAGATAAAAATATTCAAAAGCATAGATAATTCCAATAGATATAGCAAATTTATAGAGCATCATCTCAACGTGGCTAGAAATTTTACAGAGCATTGAGAGAGAAAATGAAAGAGGCATTGGTTGTAAAGAGATCTGTGTAATAAGAATCGTAATGCATTCTGCTGTCATATATTAATAAATAAAATAAAATAAAATAAAGTGCAGCCTGTCTAAACTATAAAAAAAAGAAAGAAAAAAAGAGTTACGGGACCCATTTAGTTAAATGTCCAGGCCCCATAGAAGCTATTTCCTCTGACCACACTCTTGAGCATGAGTATATTTGAAGATTTTAACTGAAGTTGAGCTCTGCCAGGGGATCATGAGTGAGAGTAGGTCACAGTTCTTTGGAGTTCAGTCCTCTTAAGACTCTCTGTGGAATCAAGAAAAAAGAAATGGCGAGTGACCTGAAATTCAATGAGACAATGTGACAGTCTCAGTGAAAAAGTTCAACTAGTTCACAGTGGGAAAAAAAAAATGGAAATGGGGTTTTCTGCTGAAACAAGTAACATTTGTAACCACAAAATATATATTTTTAAAAAAGTAAAAGTGATTTTAAAAAGTAAACATGATTCTAGGCAAACAAGATGTAGCCACAAAAATCATGGAGATTATTTTCCTGCTCAAGGTCTAGAAGCTACGTTAGAGCTGAGAAGGTAACAGTGTGTGGGGGGAGCAGGGTGCTGAGACCTTTCCCGTACTAGGATTTTGTAATCTGGAAGGCATGTGGATAAGGAGAGGGAGCCAGTCAGCTCAGGTGACATTTGTTTTTAAGGAACAGAAATAATGAGAAATGTCAGTAAAATAATAACTCTGCATTAAAGGCAACAGGAAATGGCTTATTCTGAGCCAAATGTGAGTGACTATGACCTAGGAACACCTTCAAGTTACCTTGAGTGGTATTTTTATGATTTAGATGTAAGGTATCTCCCAAAAGACAATGCAAGAAAGCTTAGAGGTGAAGTGATTGGGTTTTGACAGCCTTAACCTAGTCAGCATATTAATCCTCTGATAGGGATTAACTGATGGTAACTGTAGGCAGGTAGGGTGTGGGTGGAGGAGGTGGGTCATTGGAGGTAAGCTTAGGAGGCAGATATTTTGTCCTTAGTAAGACAGTAGACTCCTCTGCTTCCTACTTGCAACATCCTGCTTTTCTTATCCACACCCTTCTACCATGATGCTCTGCAACATGGTAGAACATGCAACAGAGTTGGCCGTCTACAGACTGAGACCTCTGAAATGGTAAACCCTAAATAGGCTTTTCCTCCTCTAAGTTGTTCTTGTCAGGTCTTTTGGTCACAGCAGCGAAAAAACTAACTAAACAGGCATGTTCCACATTGAAAGAGGTTACACAAACTTTTATAGCCAAAAAACAAAGAAAGCCATAAATCAACATATTTAACAAATGCGTTTGTAGGACATAACATAGGTGGGCCACAGCACAGTGGGCCAATCTTTCCTAGAGGTGTCAGATGTTATCTTGTAGCATTGTCTACTTTCCGGTTGGTGGAGGTGATGGGTCTGTTAGCTTAATAGTACATTCAGAAAGCTTTACCTATTAGCCAAGAGAATATGAGGTCAGATGAAAGGTTAAATCTACATGGCCTCTTTTTTTAAGGCCGTAAAATGCCCAAGATAAATTTTGCCTGTTGACCTGTAGCATTTCATCTCTCCACATTCAGTATGTTTTAATCAGCCAAGGTCATACAGTTTGCAGGATCTTTAATATCTTTTTCCTGTTCTCTTCAGAGAACTTTAGCTTCACACTAGGAACCATGACTTTGAGCCACTTTTACTCTAGACTTCTCCCAGATCAGATAGCAAAATTTTACATGTCTGGCTAAGGCAGTACTAAAGTGCTTAGGAATTTCTGATTAGAGATTTAAAGAAAATCCAAGATTTCTGACAAGATATCAAATGTAGTGAAGTTACATGCAAGATGAACATTAAAATAAACTTTTGGAGTAACTTTAATGTTAGCTCAAGTACATGGAGGAACTGTGATTGAAACGAGTTGGTTTGTCTCCAAAGGCCAGTCATTCCACTGTCTATCTTCCACTGATTGCTATGTTCAAAATTCCCCAAATTCATGTTTTAGAACTTAATCATCATTGTGATAGAACTAAGAGGTGGAGCCCTTTGGGAAGTGTATGGTACCTTATGAAAGGGCTGGAAGGAACTGTCTTAGGCCCTGTTTTGCTCCTGTGCCTTCTGCCACAAGAGGGCATGATAGTTTCTCCCTCTGTAGAATGGAACACAAGGACCTTCACCAGACACCAAACCTCATGATAGCCTCATCTGAAGACTTATCATCTCCAGAACTGTGAGAAATAATTTTTTATTCTTTATAAATTAAAGTCTCAGGTATTTTGTTGTAGCAGCCCAAGTGCACTAAGACAGTAATTATTCCTTAAATATAAATACCATTCAGATGTCTGTCCTGAGACCTCGTTTCTCTTTGATCACCATACTCTTTCAGGACAGTCACATGCAGCCCAGCACTTCAGTGACTACATGTGTCTGTCACATGTGACAGACACAGATTTTATCCATAAAAAAAAAAACTCAACAGTAATTTTACAGTAATTTTCACACCACATCAATTTCTTATATAAATTTAATATCACATCTCAGGTATTGACCTTACTCCCAATTATCTTCTTCTTATGAGATTCAAAAATTATTGACTTATACCCCAGTATGTTCACATTTTATCCCTAAAATTATCTCACCCTCAGTCATTGACAGCATTAATTAATATATAAAGTATATTAAGAATTTAGTGAAAACTAAAATCCCACTGCATCTGCACCAGTTCACACAATAATATTTACATACTATTCTGCCTACCACACCCTATATAAGCATCACAACCCACATGTTAATGTCGCTTACATTTAAAGCAAAGCACTGAAAATGCTTTTAAATCTGTGTCTGTCAGATGTCTTTTCACTAAATTTTGGGCTTATATATATAGCCAGCTACATACCTCACAGCTTCTCATGGACGTCTTCAAAACAACCCCAACTTCATGTATAATAATGAAAACTCAGCATGAAACCCTTTCCAAACCCTTCACTGTATTTACAGCTCTTTCTTTGCTGCTCTGTGAGAACCCGGCTTATTAGTATTTCATTTTTCCTCCTTGTCCAGTATCTGCTCTTCAGTGTATGTTTCTGATTCTCATTCTTTTAATTTTTTCAGTTTCTAATGTTTGTATCTTTTGGAAACTACTTTATTATGGAAAGAATCTAAATAAATTAGTCAAAAAAATAAAGGTTAAGAGCTGAGTACAGTGGCAAGGAGGGTGTGTCCTCATAAATTGCCATGATCTCCCAGTAGGTGGCGCTCACACTGCACTTTGCCTCTAGTTTTTTTTTATGCTGAGAAATATTTCACACAACTTTCTCTATACAGATGATAAATTTAAGGTAATATGCTATTTTGTGTTTTGTGATCTTTCAAATAGCCCTCTAGGCTACTAATTCTGTACCTAATGATTTGTGTTCTTATTGTATAAAGGAAGTTAGAGTTTGGGGCAAAGTTGATAGAAAGAACACAATTTATTATGGGGAGAATGTGTAATATGGGGTGAGAGGAAGCAAAGCCCTGGATACCAAAGATCTCAAACAAATAGAATTTAATAAATTTGTATCATCCTGTGGGAAACCAGCAACCTGGAAAGCAGAAAGGAAAACCCAGATATGGACAGAGTGAGCTAACTAAACCCATATCAAGTGTTATCTGGAAAATAAAGGGGGAGGACCATACATTAAAATCAGATACATAAGGTAGTCTTGGCATCCATTCACAAGATGTGTGATCTTGGGAAAGTGTTTTCTTTCTGGGATTTATATTTCTTTTCTCCAGAATGATAACATTGAGCTAAGTGATCTTGAAAATTCCACAATTGCTAAACAGAAATCTTGAGTAAAAGGGAAAAAGTAATTCCATGATCAGCAGGTAAAAGATACAGGCCAACAGCTTCCATGGTTTAGTATATATTAACTAACAGATCCTTGCGCAGAATTTCTTTCTGATGGGTGTTAACTGTAGGCCACTGTTATGAATCCTGGCTGTATCTAAGGTTTAATTGGGGAGGCATAGCAATGACAGCCCCACTCAGACCAGCTATGGGAGTCTCGGGACGTGAGGCCCAGGTATCTTTGTCAAAAAAGGGTCTAGGCAGCTTGAATATACACATGAGATTAAGAACCACAGATGCAGATCATTAGAAAGACTGATGATGCTAAAACCTTTAGTGAGAATAAACAATGTTCTTAGTAGTCATGGAAGGCTTATGCATATGCCTGGAAAGGAAAAATATGCACAGGACAAATGAAAGAGTGAAAAAGAGAGCAGACGATACAGAGAACAAGTCTGGGGGTGAAATATAAAAGCACACAGTATGGATACCGCCAAATGTAAATTTTCACCACTTTTGGAAAAACTTTGAAAAATGAAGACATTGCTCCGTTAAGAAAGAAAAGAAAAAGGAAAGAAGAAAGAAAGAAAAAGGAAATAATTTTTTTTCACCTTACATTTCATCCTTCAATTCCATTGTCTACACGAGGGAAATGTTAAGTGTAAGAAATGACATAATTTTGTTTTTATAACTTTAATTGTCTTATGTGGAATCCCCCCTTTCCCTTTCCAGTTGGAAAGGCTCCATTTCTTAAACTCTTTTATTATTTTTTTTTTATTAGAGCACTATATCTTTACATGGTTATCTGGGTTTCTTTTGACATATTATACATAATATAAGGAATTTTATTTTAATCCCCATTTCCTCTCCCCTTATCTCCCCTCTTTTTCCCCCTTTCTCTTTGCTCTACTGATCTTCCTTTCATGCCTTTATTCATTTGTTGTTGATTGGTAATTTCTATGGACAGGTGAAGAAGATATTTCTTTGATACATTTATATATGAATGTAACATGACTTTGTTAAGATTTTTTCCACATTTCTTTCCTTCCTCATTCCCTTCCATTACTCTTACTTCTACTCCACTGCTCTTCCTTATAACTTTGTGATAACTAACACCCTCCTGGATCGAGAAGGCTCCACTTAAGACATCTCTATGCAGACAGAGTGCTGTGACATCTGCCAGTCTCTTTTTTATTGAATTCTTTGTTAACTTAGTTTGCAGATTTATGGTTCTCAACTTGTTTTCAGCGCCTCAAATAATCTGATAGTGTGTTAATCAAGTCTTTGTTACTGTAACAAAATGACTGAGATAATCAATAAGAGAGGTTTATTTTGGCTCACAGTTTTGGAGATTTCAGGCCATGATCAATTGGCCCTGTTGCTTTGGGCCTATGACAGCACACCAAGGTGGGAACATGTAGAGCAAAACCATTCACCCGATAGCTAAAAGCCAAGAGAGGAGGGAAAGGTGTTGGGGTCCTTTTGAAGGCACTTTCCCAGTACCTGAAGTCCTCCCACTAAGACCACAAGAATACATCACCTCCCAATAATGCCCAGCTGTGGACCAGCCTTTACCACACAAGCCTTTGGTATATATTGAAGATCCAAACTGTAGCAGATAGTATTGTATTAATCTTAATTTCCTGATTGTGATAATAAATGTATTATGGTTATATAAGATGCAAAACCCTGAAGAATTGGGTAAAAGGTATATGTAACACACTGTCATTTTTGCAACATTTTTATAAGCATAAATTATTCCAAATTGAAAAAGCTAAGGAGATAAAAATGATAGAATATCAATGAAAATACATTTGCAAGAGACTTGAAAAATATCTAATATATTGCTTTTGTGTTATTTTATAAACTGCTAAAATTTGAGTTCAATTTTATTATAGTCTCTTAAAAAATTATTATTATCAGGTATAAAGTTGTAAAAGATATGGAATGTATAATACAGCATTTTCAAGCACTTATCTACAAAAATTAACTTTTGAAACATGCTTTTGGTTAACTAAGCTAACAAGTTGAGGACAAAGAATATAAAAGTTCAGAAAGAAAACTGGGGAGCTTGGTATATTGTGAACAAAAAAAGTTTTTGTCTTCTAAAAGTGTTCATGTAAAAATCAATGAATTGTGTGGCTATGAATGAATGTTTTAAAAGCAAAGATTTTCTTTTAGACAGATAATAAATATTTTATAAAACATTTAAATGTCAATTCAAATACAACTAGGCTGTTTTCAGTTGAATATAGTTGTCCAAATTGTCCTAATTAAAAAAAAATAGCAGTTAAAACAAGCCAATTTTGCTCTGGTAAGTATTATTTTCAGCCAGAGACATAGTTGAAGTTGTTGATTTTAACAGCGGTTTGAAAATTCTTGCAATTATTTGGTCACTGTAAAGCACTTATAAAAATAAAAGTAGGCACATTTCCTGAGAAAACACCTTTGAAAAGTCTATGAAACAAGATATTTTAATTTTCATCTGAGTTAATATTTGGATGCCATAATACACAATTGTCTGAGATTTTAAAAAATTATTATTATCAGGTATAAAGTTGTTTTGAAAGGCTTTACCTATAGATAAAATTTGTTGGCTTTCTCTTGACTTCTTTTCTGCAACATAGATTCATTTGTACACATTGTATACTGTAACTAGCATCTAATACTTAGCTTTCTATTCTTTCTGCTTTTTCTTTTAATTTTGGAAACCTATAATTAAAGGTCAACATTGGAAATTTATCAAATAGTTCTATTTATTTCATATGCATGCTTAAATAGGCCTCTTTGTACATGCAGAAGTCCCAAAGATGAATATCTTTTGGTATTTCTCTTTTCTCTCATGCTTTCTTCCTCATTCATTACTGCTTTAAACAGTTTCATATTGAGTATTTTTTTTCTCTCCTCAGTAGTGAGGATTGAACCTAGGAGGACTTTACTATTGAGTTACATCTCCAGCCCTTTTCAATTTTTAATTTTGAGATATATCTAAGTTACTGAGGCTGACCTGGAACTTGGGATTCTTCTACTTCAGATTACTGAGTTTCTGAGATGACAGGTGTGTGCCATGCCTCACTCATGTTTGAGTATAAGAGTTTTTAGTTCTGTCTTCAATTGATGATCTGTTTCTCTCCTGCCCTTTGGACTTTCCATTCCATGTTCTGCTTTTGCTCTTTGCTTTTATGTAAAATTCTCTAACTTCAATTTATTTCATTGGCTTCTTGAGAATTTCTTCAGATTGCCTACCTGTGGTACCGAGCTGACTCCTTGAAAGTCAGGTTGGTCTACCTGAACCATGATAAGGGGAAGATTTTGCAGTAGAGTCCTTATGGAGCCATCTAGGTAGGAGTTTCTAGAGCATAGCAAGGCAGAATATGGAAGGCTCCAAATTCCCTCTGAAGTTTTCCCAGCTGGACTTTTTGAGGAAAGAGTATCATTGCTATCAGTGCAAACCACTATCAGCTAGTACTGAAACATTGCCTCTGTGCATCAGAGGGCTGTCACTTGACCTTCCTTCATTTCAGACAATCCATTGTTTGAGGAATCTACACTACACTTAATGTTGCTTATAGATCAGTCAGTTTGTGTTCCTGGGATACATAAGTGCTGAAGGAGGAGGCATTAGATATGAACAAGAACAGAGATTCACCCATTCTGTCTCAGAAACAATTGAGATATTCAAAGTATAAAGTAAAAAGTACACTAGATATTTGTTAAAAATAGCATGGAAGATTTTATTTAGGACTACTGCAAAAAGGGTCAAAGCTATTGCAATAGGGGAGATTGCACTCAACTCAGGGGAAATAAAAGGCAAGAGAGTTTGTAAGTGCTAAGATAAGCTGGTAGAAAAGCACTGGAGGATATTAGGAGGGACACTGGTAAATGTGCTTAGGTCTTTCGTATTTGCTAATTGGTGTTTATTGCAGTTCAACTCCTACCCTCCCATAGAGACTGGGACACCATCTTTCCTGATGGTTACATGGAGAAGATGTACATCTCAAAGGAGAAGAGAAAAAAAATCTAGTGAGGTTTCCTTACATAAAAGATCTAAGAAAAGGGAAGTCAGTGGCCTTGGCCTGTGGTCAGAAGAAAACCCACCTACAGTTAAGTCAAGATGAGGGAATTGTGAAGGCCATCTTGGTCACAGAGGAGGGGAATCTCCAGTGAGCCAGGAAAGGAATAAGGAATCTTCTTGCTGCCTGTTTTTTTCTCCCTCCCTAATTCCAAAGGATTCAGAAATTTAAGAAGTGGGAGGGAAAATTAAAAAAAAAAAAAAAAAAGAGGGAAGAAGAAAGAACAAATGTTTTATACCTCCTTCCTGTAGTTTTCTATGTATAGTATAGATTGCAACTGTGGGAAGGAATGAAATGCCCTGATGTAAAATCAGGATGATATTAGATGGAAATGAACACTTTTTAAAGGTTCATGGAGAGCCTAATATTTTCTCAGAATGAACGGGAAAAGCACAAATCATGGGACTTCTGGAGAGTTTTTACCCAGAGTAGATCAAATGTAAAGTGGGAGATGAAAATAAATTTTCTTTTTTAATTCATCTCATTAGTTGTGGTTATAATTATTAACAGCCAATATAATTACAAACTAATAAAATTATTCTGTGAAAATGTGACACTCTTTAAGAGTTTACTATAAAGACTCAATTTACACAAATAAAATTGTAAATATACTTTAAGAAGAAGAAAAATATTATTGGAAGAGAAAATCTCAAATTCATGAAGAAATTTTAAGAAATAGGTAACTCGGATAAATAAAATTAAATACTGATTGCAACTCTCTCTTTGGGGGAGGGGTTAAGATGGTCTAAGATCACATCATTCCTATTTAAATAGTTGTTTATTTAGGGGAATCAAAAGAAGTAATAGACAACAATGCCACATGATGCTAATAAATGGCATAAAATAATATTTAAAAAATAGTGAAAATAGTGATTTTTCATAAATGTGTATGTCATTTGTGAACACTAGGAGTGCTATTTTGGTACAGCATAACATATACATAGCTATATGACTAGCACATAAAATTCTTTAAAAATGTACATATAAATACACTTTGACAATTTTTTTTAAGTCAGATTATGCTTCTGTGTTCTTTCTGTCACTGTGACAAAACACTGGAGAGAAATCAACTTAAAGAGGGGAAAGTTTATTTTGCCTAATGGTTTTAGGGGTTTTAGTTCACAGCCACTTTGCCCTGTTGCTTTCAGGCCTGCAGCAAGGCAGTACATTATGGTGAACACATGTAGCTGAGGAAAACTGCTCATCTTATGGTGGTCATGAAGCAAAGAGAACTGCTTTTATGTCAAGAACCCTCCTTCTATACCCATTAAGCTACGAGTCCATAAATAGCTTAATCCATTAAGCCATCAATGAGACTCAAGCCCTCACCAGATGTGGCCCCTGGACCTTGTATCAGAACTGTGAGCCAAAATAAACTTCCTTTCTTTTAATTTATCAAGTCTATGGTATTGTGTTATTGGCAACAAAATATGGTCCAATAAACTTATCTTTAGAATTATCTCTAACTTTTTTGTGTATTGAATCTGTTAAATGAATTTTTGAATTATTTTAGAGGTTTAATGTACCCTGAAAAATATGCCATTAGCACTTTTATTAACAGATTAATTATACATTAAAAATTTTATTAAAATTATATTAAATGCCCTTACTAGAAAAAATATAGGCCCAACTCTTCATCATGTTGGCTTAAGAAATGATTTCCTTAACAAGACTCTGAAAGTGCAAGAAGTGAAATCAAGAATCTATAAATGGGATGGTATCAAACTAAAAACCTTCTTCACTACAAAGGGAATAATCAAGAACTTGAGCAGTGAGCCTACAGAATGGAAGAAAATCTTTACCCCCTGCACCTCAGATACAGCATTAATCTCCAGGATATATATATAAGAAATTCAAAAAATTTCACACTATAAAAACAGATAACCCAATCATTAAAATGGGCAAAGAAACTGAAGAGACACTTCACAAATGAAGAAATACGAGTAGTCAAAAAATATATGAAAAAATGTTCAACATCTCTAGCAATTAGAGAAATGCAAATCGAAACTACACTGAGATTCCATCTCACTCCAGTCAGAATGGCAGTTATAAAGAATACAAGTAACAACGAGAGATATGAAAAATTGTGCTCTATATGTGTAATAAGAATTGTAATGCATTCTGCTGTCATATATAAATAAACCAAAAAATAAATAAACAATTAAAAAAATTTTTAAAGAAGAATACAAGTAACAATAAATGTTGCCAAGGATGTGGGGAGAAAGATATTCTCATACATTGCCAGTGAGACTGCAAAATTGGTACAACCACTCTGGAAAGCCATAGTGAGATTGAAAACTTGGAATGGAACCACCATTTGATCCAGTTATCCCACTCCTGGGCCTGTACCCAAAGAACTTAAAAGCAGCATACTCCAGTGATGCAACCACATCAATATTTTTAGCAGCTCAATTCACAAGAGCCAAGCTATGGAATCAACCTAGGTGTCCTTCAACAGATGAATGGACAAAGAAATGTGGTATATATACACAATAGAATATTACTCAGCTATAAAGGAAAATGAAATTATGGCATTTACCAGTAAATGGGTGGAACTGGAGACTAATATGCTGAATGAAATAAACCAATCCTCCCCAAAACCAACTGCCGAATGTTTTCTCTGATATGTGGAAGCTAACCCACAACCAGGAAGGGTGGGGAGGAGAAGAATAGAAGCCATTGGATTAAACAAAGGGGAATGAGGGAAGGGAGTGGGGTGAGGGGAATAGGAAGAACAGTAGAAATAATCAGACATAACTTTCCTATATTTATATGTGAATGCATGACCAGGGTAACTCCACATCATGTACAACCACAAGAATAGGTTCCTAATTAGAATAAGTTATACTCCATGTATGTATAATATGCCAAAATACATTTTACTGTCATGTACACCTAAATAGAACAAATAAAATTATATTAAATGAATATATAACTTTGGAAAAATTTACATAGTTATGTTATTGACTCTACCTAAACAGAAATATTATAAATCTTTTCCATTCACATTTTCTGGACTTTAGTAACACGTTTAGGTAAGAATTGAGGTTCTAATTACTTTTACCCAATTCTGAAGAGGCTGGCACAGAAGCTTCCTAACAATAGAGGATGCTCAATATTTCCTCCTTCTGCCTAATCCTCACCTCTCCTTCTTTTTTGTATCTTTCTAACTTGAAATCAAATCCTTTCTTTCTTACAGCCAGCTTATTTGTTTTGGAAGTCATCCAGCCTTTCTGGTCTCCCTTTGTCTATTCTGTTGAAAAGGGAAGGGATATAATTTGAAGTCATTATTCACTAAGGATATGAATGCATTTGTAAGTAGCCTTATTTTTATACTATGCTATAGAGAGAAATTCATTAAACACAAGAAACATATTGCTTGATCAATGTACTGTTTTCCTATGCTCAGTAGATTTGACAATTTCTATAAACTATATCCAGTGAAACAATTAGTTTGGTCAAAATATGGAAGCATATTGATAACTCCACAATTAACTTTTCTTTTTCATTTACTAGTATGATTTTGAAACATTTGCTTTCAGTATTCCTTAAATAATTGAGCAAGTGTTAGTATTGGCTTATAAAAGTCACTTGCCAGCATTCAGAAAAACAGACCTTAAGATTTTCAAAACAGGATAAAATAGGATAAAACAGGATAAAATTGAACCTTTATGCAAAGGTTCAATTAGAAACACCTATGATCTTCAAACACAGTATGTATTGTTTACTAAGTCACAATTGTCTACCATAAAAAATGTGGGAAGATCTGATGAAATACTTATATTGGTAATATTGTAATAACATAAGCATAAAAACATTTTCATATTCTAGAAGACAGGATACAAGAATTAAGGATGAAATATTTCTTGTCTCTTGTACAGGCAAATTATTTCAATCTTACTTTCTCTTATTCATGAGCAAATCTCTGAAAACATAGAGGAAAATGCATTATGTCAAACTTTTTCACTCCGGAACAAAACACAAAGGGTCAGAATGGTCTTTAATTTCTAAATGGTGAAATGCCATTTAATGTTTTGTTTTATATTTTACTAGGCAGATTCTGAACGATAAAGGTTTCTGGGTTTTGGGTCTAAGATTTGGAAAGAACAAACAAACAAACAAAACCTGTCAGAATAACTGGTCAAATAAGTGAAGGAAAAGTAAAAGGGGGAATAATGTAATCAATGAAGCGAAAGAGAAAAATGGACTCATAGACAAGAGGAGAGAGATCATGCATCAAACTGTCCTACACAGAAATGGACCCTATATAACTCTGTCACATGTAAGCAGTGATATGTACTTTTAGAGAGTTCTTTTTCCTCCCAGAATTTGTATAAAGGCATGTTTTGAGCTTACTTGGATCGAAATGTGGCCAATTGGTGCATTCTGATGTGTGAGGACAGGCTTTGGATGATGCCAGGGCCCTGCTTCCCCAGAGGTTCTTCTGGTCCTGATCAGATGACTCACACACCTGAAACCCTGACTCATCAATATGCATTTTGATACCCAGGAGACAGGCAGGGAGAAATCATGTGGAAATGTGATACTTTCTTCATTACAGAGTGTAGTATTCATTTCTATCATTTATGTACAACACAGTTCTCTGGATTTAGTGAGCTCCTCTCATACCATTTTTTTTTAATTTTTATTGGTTGTTCACAACATTACAAAGCTCTTGACATATCATATTTCATACATTAGATTGAAGTGGGTTATGAACTCCCAATTTTACCCCAAATGCAGATTGCAGAATCACGTCGGTTACACATCCACAATTTTACATAATGCCCAATTAGTAATTGTTGTATTCTGCTACCTTTCCTATCCTCTCATACCTTGACTCTCTTTCCTCCCCAATCCAACTCTGCCCTTTTCTTTTTACACCAACTTCATTTTCAAATAGAGAACAAAGAAGACTTACTGTTGTTTGTTTTTCCTTTTACATACAAGGGGATTAGTTTTTATTCCATTTTATTTGTTCTCATAATTTTCAGGTTTTTAAAACGAGGTCAGTTACTCTGCTTCCTTAATGCAAGTGCTAGAGCAAGAGATAAACATACTCTGCTCTTTTAGGATTTGCAACCTTGAATTATCCGTGAAAGCCAGATGGGTGCTGGAGACATTGGCATGCAAGAGCATGTCCTCGGGACTCATCGGTTTCCAAACTTCCTCCACAGTGTCTAGTCCTGAAACAACAAGCATCCTTTCGCTCTTGAAACTGGTTCAGAACAGAATAGAAAGAACAAGGCCTGCTGGTGGAGGCCTTGGAGGCAAGGGGATCATTTGCTTAACAAAGCAAGGCTACAATCTACCTCTCCAAGGCGCTTTCATCTGAAAACTGGGTTTGGAACCAAGTGGAAATAAGCTCTTTCCAGTGCAATTCAGCACTTCCTGGTTTCACATGGACACAAAGAATAGAGACCTTTTTTTTGTGTTTTGTTGCTATTCACTTTTTTCATCAGGTCTGAAACTGGAGGTGTGCTTAAATAATGAAGGCTTGTACACATTTTCTTTTCTCTAACTGGGGATTCAGATTCTGATTTTCCCAGAGCAAGGTGAAGCTGCTTTCAACTCTGCTCACTAAAAGCTGCTGAAAAATAATACGAAGGGAGAGTCTTTCATAATGAGACAGGTAATTGGAAGAGTACAGTCTCTGCTATCCTTCTGAATGCCTTTTAATATTTTTGTTTTGGCCTTTAAGAGCTTTGGGTTTCTTTTCTGAAAGCAGAGATAAAGAGAGCTCCTTAGCTGTTCAGATATTGTTAAAAATCATATAATTTGTTCTAATGTGACTTCCAGGAGACCACTTACTTCCCATGATCTTTCTCATTGTTGCATAAATGATGAGAACTGGGTACCAGTTTATGTCTGTATGCACTAGAATTTAGAATGCAATTGAGTCTTCAGCATAGACTTCATCTTGGTGGCCTTGTAAAATGGCAAGTGTTTTGGAAATTGAAGCATATAAATACAAACTAAAACTAAAACCAAACCTCAGGTAAGCACTTTTTTTACCTTTGCAAAACCATAACCCTAAAACTCCAATTTCTGGATCTGATTCATCATTTCAAATCCTAGATGTTACAACCATAAATGCATACTGTTCTTGCTCAAAAGGGAGTCTAGCCACTCTTCCTTCCTCAAACACCTACTCTTAGGCAGAAGATGTCTGCGGTTAAGAAACTAAAAGCAGCCAGCCACTAATGCTGTAGGTCAGCTGGTGCTAGAACAGTTTTAAGGCCATCAAATTCTCTTTTTTTCAATGTAGGAGTACCTAAAAACTATATTCTCCTATCATTAAAAGGCTTTTCTTTTTTTTAAGTCCACAGTTGAAGGAAATATTGCAGGTGGATATTCACTTCATTTTTATCACATCCTAATAGAAACAAGAATCT